GGGAGGGAGGGAGGGAGGGAGGGAGAATCCTCTGTGCTCTGGCAGTACAGAGTCTGATGCAGGGCTTGAACCCACAAAGCTGTGAGATCATGACCTGAGCCAAAACCAAGAGTTGAACACTGACTGAGCCACCCAGGTGCCCCTAATCTTATATCTCGTAATTATTAAGTGACAGAATGTCTCTAATGTTTGGAGTGACTGTTGAAAGTCTGAATTTGACACTGTCTCCAAAGCTTTCTCAGTCACTAGGCTTTCCCACAACCCTCTGTCTCTTCATTTGGTCAGCAGTCCTAACCCCTGGCTGGAGGGGGAGAAACTAGGTGAGGAAAACCAGCTATAATTTTGAAACTTTTAATTAAGTATATAGTTATTGTTTTTATTCTATTTTTTAATGTTTACTTTTGAGAGAGTGAGCAGGGCAGATGCAGAGAGAGAGGGGGGGACAGAGGATTCAAAGCGGGTTTCATGCTGGCAGCAGAGAGAGTGATGGCGGGGCTCGAACTCACAAACTGTGAGATCGTGACCTGAGCTGAAGTTGGGTGCTCAACTGACTGAGCCACCCAGGCGCCCCAGTCACTGCTTTTAAATATATAGATGTATTATTGATGGAAAGATGTATCTAGAAACTTTAAAAAGTAGTATCTGTTGGTTCTCATGTAATACGGAATTTCCTATTTCCAGCAACTTAGGAGTATGTATTGCTATTTAATTTACATTGACTGTGTTTATGATTATGAAGTTTTTTAAAAGAAATCATTGAAAATCTATATATTCCTAATAAACCTTTCTTAAAACCTGCCCCAAAGAATTGAGGGGATGGCACGGCTATCCCAGCGGATGAACTAGTATCTGTATTAGAAATAAAGGCAGTAGTTCATTGATTACAGTATGCTTGAGAACATGCTGCTTTGTGTGTGCGTGTTTCTAGCTAGAGTGGTAAAGAAATGGGAGTGCTGGGACTACAGGCGCTGTGCGTGTGTGCGCGCGCTTGCGCTTGCGCTCCTCTCGTGACTGACACCGCCTGTAGTCTTCCTGGTGCCTGGCACAGGGG